GTCACGGCTCCCCGGGACTTCAGGGAGCGCACCTTAAGGAGCCCAACCGAGACGGTCTCCTGCCATGGCCCGGCCGCCGCCGCCGCCGGCCTCCACGTAGCCCGGGGGTGCCTATACCGCCACCTTCTCACGCGCAGCCCCGACCGTTGCAGAGAACGCTACCGCCTCCATCCTCCGCCCCGCCCGCCGCGTCTGGCAGCGCCGCGCGCTTCGACTGCAGGACTTCACCCCCTCGGTTTCGCAACAAAGCGCGGACCGGAGGGCGCTTGCGCGCGGCGAGCCTCCGGAAGGGGCGGGGAAAGGCTCGAGGGCGTCGCGGGTGGAGCCTGCACAGAACAGGATGCGCGGGGCGGGAGCGAGGGCGGGGGCGGGCGTGTGCAGACCGGCGCTTTCTACCGCGAGGTCGGCAGGGCTGTCACAAAATCCCGAGTTGGGGGTGCCGACCTAGCTTTTAGGATTGCTTCATACACGTCTTTGTGTTAGCAAGACCAGCCATTCCACCTCATTCTTTCTTTCTGCAAAGGTTCCTTGACCTCCATATGTCTACTGGGCCCTATGATAGGCAAGGGGCAACAAAGACATAGCTGTTTGGGGTCTTCTTTGGAGGAACTCACCACATGCTAGGGTCACGCCCTACACAAGCTTTCCAAGCGACGAGGACCTAGAATGTGGAGGTTTGCCAGGCCCTTGGTTTCTTAAACATCACCTCTCTGCTGACCTAGACTGATTATGGCAAGCCTTCCCCGGACTCCTTTCCTTCCCTCCCAGTGGCAGTGGGACGTCTGAATAGGGTCTGCACCAGGACTGTCACGGCTTAAAGTGCCTTCTGGAGGATCAAGCAAAATTTATAGGTGTCTGAACAAAAAACTACAGGTGTATGCCTGAAGTATGCAGCCACTACTATGGACCCTGGACAGTCTGCTTTCATTCCCTGACTCCCTTGTGCTACCTTTTGGAGAAAATGTTTATAATGAAAATATTTACAATGAAATACCACAAACAATATTTATAATGAGTAACTCAAATAGAGTAATATGATAAATACCTATGGTCCCACCACAAGTATAAGTTGAATTTTAGTAAAAACTTAAACTTATTTAAATGTATTATGCTTGCTTTGATTCATTCTTTTAAATAGAACAATACAGATAGGCAGAAGCTCCCTCTCAGAATCTGTCTTTCTCTCTCTACTGGAGTGAGCATTATCCTCAGGTTGGGGTTTACCGTTATTCCCGTGCGTGTTCTTTTTATTTTTTAATTATTAAAAAAATTTTTTGAGGGGGGTAATTAGGTTATTTATCTTTAATGGAAGTACTGGGGGTTGAACCCAGGACTTCGTGCATGCTGAGCATGTGCTCTACCACTGAGCTATACCCTCTGCCCAACTCATGCATGTTCTTATAAATGTATCCATAGCCATGTATTTTCTTTTGCAGGTTGAGACATGTAATTAAATGGAGCCATACTATACCTATCATGCTACACCTTTCTTCTCTTTCAAAATTATACTTTAGGGACTTAATCAATTGACAAATCTCTAGTTTTTTCACTGCTCATTGTGTGACTAACCCAAATTCCTTCAGTGAGGGAATTAGGTTGTTTCTACTTTAATGTTTTTACAGAGCAGCAATGAACACCGTGTGCAAGAGATTCACCAAATAGATCCCCAGGAGTGAATTTGCTGGGAACTTTTCAGCTTTATTATCTGCTGCCAAATTGCTCTCTGAAATGATTGCACCAATTTATACTCCCATCAGCAGTATATGTAGTTTGCGGGTCCTGGTGGACTTGGAGAAATCTGAACTGGGAGAGGCTGGCTGAGGCAGCCTGTCGGGGGTGGGGGGTGTCTGTCTGGAAGCCTAGTTGGAGAAAGAAGAGAAGCCCATCACATCCCCTTCCCCAAATGCCAGCTTCCTGCTGGCAACAGGCCAGAGCTGAATGAGGGGAGAGGCCTCAACTGTAAATGAAGTTTGGAATTTTGACTGAAAATACTAATTACAGAAATGACATTGTTTTATTACCTGCACAGGAGGACTTTTTAAAACCTAAGAATGACCAGAAAAGTCACGACCCCATCCTCTATCTGAATTTTTATCTAAAGACAGGAGAACTGGACCCAATGAATAAATGTAAAGGGACAGTGGAAGAAAAAACAGTTGCTTCATAATTACATTCAGAAGTCATGCTTGTTCAATAGAACAATCATTCCTGCAGGGTGGCTTTATCCTACTCTCTAGAAAGCTTCCTGACAACATGCAACGTGTTTGAAAATTTTGGCTAAATCATGTGTAATTTAAAGATAAGATTAACAAAAATTTGTAATGCTTCCAAAGCCAAATAAAGTTGATTTGGAGATTCCATGCTCTTCTCGGTAGGTACTGAAGCAGCAGTACTGTTACCTATTATTAACTGGAATAACTAAGGATTCATGTACATAGCTTTCATGAGTAGCTCAAGCACTTGTAATAGGCAAATAGAAAGAAACTGAAAAAACAAATCCTTGTATTTCACCCATCAAAATACAGCAGATATTACAGAATGAACAAAGAAGACAAATATTCTTATTTAATATCAATGCTCTACTTAGTAGAACAGAGAGCATCACTCATTTCTAGAGAAATTAAATATACTATTTTACATCATTAAGTAGTGTTTGGTAAATTGTGAAGATTCATTTTACAGCACTGGGGTATATAAGGCTAAATATGTTATTTTTTTCTTAATGTACTTCCCAATAGAAACTGAGTAACACAAATCGTTAAAAAATATCTCCTTTCAAGGTCCAGGATGAAAAAAACTCACAAGTGGAGAAGTCAGTCAGAGAAAGAATATACCTCATTTGAAAGAAACCGTGTTTTATTAAAATTATTTTCCATGTTGTATACAAACTGAATTTTTAAATTAAATCCAATACACCTTTACAATAATTCTAAAGTTGAAAGGCACAGTGCCTATGTAAATTACTACCAATCAACAAAATTGAAAATGACTTAAAAAATTATTTTGAGCACAAAAAATTTCAGTAAAAAGTAAATTCAGAGCACTACACCATCACCAGAATATGTAATTTGACACAATTTTTTCACATTCATCTTCAAGTTAGATTAAGGCCATTACTCTCATTTTATTGTTTGTTATTATTATTATTAACCATAACATTGTGGAATGTTTAGCATTCACGTTTGGTAGGCAGACGTATATGATCTGTATAACCACACTTTGAATTTAATTTGCTCAGACAAGTTGGGGAGTTTGGTATACTTCGACCTGGAGAGACTAAGTGGTTTTAGCATAAGACGTGATGGAGGAAGTCTCCCCTGCCAAGCTTAGTAAAGATCAACTGACACTTTAGACAAAAACCTAAACAAAGGAGATTTGTGCATGCTTTCAAACTACGAGTATGTAAAATAGCAAGTTGGATAGACGGTCTTACTAACTAGATGCTCACAATTTCACATCAAGAAATTATTAGCGTCTCTAAAAACAGAATTAGGGAGGAAAAGTGACTTTAGAACAGGCTTCTAGTCTTCCACTTCAATAGTTTTCATCAAAAAGAAAACATGAAATAATTTGATATATTCCAATTTCGGTGATACACAAACGAGGAAGAGATCTGTTAAAAACATGGAATACATTTTAATTTCTAATTTTAAATCTCCTTTTAGGTTTTATAAGCTTTGAAATGCAAGTGGATCTTTAAAGCATCATAATGAGTAATTATAGATGAATAATAATACAGTTTATACCCTAGGAGGCGTCTGTAGGCGTTTTAACTGGAAATAAGTATTCTGAGATAATGCTAATAGCAGTGTAGAAAAATGAACTCAAAAAAAAAATTCAAAGTGTAGGGAATCCTCCTATCCTTTCTGGATTTTATTTTAATCATCTCCTCCACAGAGAATGAGCAGTACCTTCCTGTAGTCTCCAGATGTGTCACCCTGGGGGCAAAGAAAGCAAAGTTATGGTCAGACAAATGGGTTTTAAAATAGAACACACAGCTCAAGGTCATCTAGGTTAACTCCTTCAATCTTGGCTGGATTCTGCATTTAAAAAAAATGACATTTGTTATTTTTTGTTACAAAAAGAACACCTGTTCAATGTAGGAAATAAAGACATAAAAGAAGAATGTAAAAATCATCCCTAATTCGAACATTTAGAGATTACTATTCCTCACATTTTGGTTTTTGCACAGCCTTCCAGACTTTTTTCTATGCATACAGATGCCTGTGAGAACAGCACTCTTCTGTATTCTGCTCTTTTAAATTAATATGGCCTATTTCCCTATTTTAATTTATTAAATATTTCTCTATAACACCATTCTTCAATGGTTACAAGTATTCCATTGTACATAGATAAAATAAGTTTTTGATCACTGCTCCCCACTGGGTATTTATGCTGTTTCCAATTTTTCACTATTATTAAAACACTGCTGCAATAAGCATATTATAAATTTTTGTGCATTTTCTTAATGGTTTATTCAGGATATGTTTTCATAAAATGGGAGTGACCAGATTAATGATCATGCATTTTCTTTAATATGGGTTGCAAAATAGTCCTCCTGAAAGGTGCTATAATTTCTTTTCTTTTTTTTTTATTTGTTAATTGTTTATTGATCAAGAGAAACTACTGCTTAACCCAGATATTCATAGTTCATAGTTTATAGTTCAGGAACGCAGGTAAAGGATAAACTCAGCCCAAAGAAATTCTTTCCATTCCAAGATCACTTTGCACTCTGAAAGATACCAGCCTTCCTCATCTCCTCAAAATCTTTCATGGAATCATAATTTCTATAGAAATCTGCACATGCCTTCTTCCTTGGTGCAGCCACATCAAACTTACAGAAGCTGCATCTCCCAGGGATAAAACAAACGCTCCAACAATACAAAATCTCAGACGCTTGGCCAGAAGGTCTCGTATCTGAGGCTTCGTCAAAGCACTGGAAGTCATGGTAGTTACTCTCCTTGAGAGCTCATCAATGTTCTTCTATGATTTCTACATAGACTTTTTCATGGTCTAATTTATAGATCAGTTTTTGTTGGAGCTTCAGGGGGCACTAGAAAAGATGGAAGTCTATCTATAGGATTCAAAGTTTAATGTATGTCGACTAAAATCCGTCTTAATACATCCTTGTTTATACTTTGCCTCAGTGATCTGCCAAAGGCTAAGGATGCGGTGTTAAAATCTATCTAGCATAGTATTTCCAACGTCTTCTTCTGGAACCTCAAGTTTCTTATTTACATATTTGAATACAATACTATTTGGCATCTAAAGTTTTGTGACAATATAACCTTTGTTGTGAATCATTGCTTTTACCAACATAGAGTGATCCACTGCTTCCTGTTTAATGCTTTATCTCCTTAAATTATTCTTTTTACTTATAGGATAGCCCCTGTTTTCTTTTTATTTGTTCTTCTTTTTATTTATTTCTCCTTTTTATTTATTTATTTCAAATGTCCTTTTCTCCGGCCTTTTTTTTTTTTTAAAGCTTTTTACATATCACTGTATCTCATCTGCTCCTTACAAACACCATGGAGTAGGATTTTGTATTTTAACCTAGTCTAAGAGCTTATTTATTATTATGACTTACATTTTTATCTTATTTCTGTCTTTTTTCTATTATTTACATATTTTATATTTCTAATTCTGTTCCTTTTGACAATTGTATTGAATGGGCAATGTATTCTTCCCTTGATCTTAGCCAAAAGGCCGAGAAGCGACGGCAATGTTGTCTTTATCTTTAATGTTTTCCAGTGTGAGTGTGTGTGTGACTGTGTTTATATATATAAATATATAATATAAATATATTTATTGTGATGTTTCTCCAAGCCAATCAATATTTTTGTACCCCATCATTTTAGTGTCTGTATAGTATTATTACATTATATAAATTTTCCATAATTTATTTGAGTCATCTCCTAATGGTTAATAAAAATAAAGATAATACATAATAAATTATATAATATAAATATATACCATATTATTTATGCAAATATAAATAATATAAAATAATATAAATAATGCTATGATGAAAATATATTTAGGGTACTTTTTCACATTTCATCAAAAGATTTTGTTCAAATCTTTCATTGATATTTTTATTATGGTAAAATACACACATATATATATGAAATGAAATTTGCTATTTTAACCATTTTTAAGTGTATAATTCAGTGGCATTCATGACATTCACATTGTTGTATAACCATCATCATTGTCTATTTCCAAAACCCTTTCATAACCCCAAACAGAAACTATTATAACCACTAAGCAATAACTTTCCATTCCCTTCTTCCTCCAGCTCCTGGTAATCTCCAATCTACCTTGTGTCTCTATGAATTTGCCTATTCTAAATGTTTCATGTAAGTAGAATCATACAGTATTTGTCCTTTTGTGTCTGGTTTATTTCACTTAGCATGTTTCCAAAGTTCATCCATGTATGAGAAACTTCATTCATTTTCACTACATTTTGTTTATCTGGTCATCTGTTAATGGACCCTTAGGTTATTTCCACCTTTTGACTATTATGAATAATGTTTTCATTGCTGTACAAGTATGTATTTAAGTCCTCATTTTCATTTCTTTTGAGTATATGCCTGGGCGTATAATTGCTGGGTCATATGGTAAGTCTATGTTTAACTTTCTGAGGAGGCGCCAAACCATTTTCCACAGTGGCTGCACCATTTTACACTCACACCAGAAATACATGCGGTTCCAATTTTGCCACATCCTCACCAACATTTGTTATTTTCCATTTTTAAAAAATTATTGCCATCTAAGTAGGTATGAAGTAGTATCTCACTGTGGTTTTGGTAACAATGTTGAGCACTTTCCATGTGATTGTTGACTTGTATATCTTCCTTGGAGAAATGTCTATTCAAATCCTTTGTCATTTTTTAATTGGGTTGTTTGTCTTTTTGTTATTGAGTTGTAGAGGTTCTTCATATATTCTGGATAGTAAACCCTTATCAGATATGATCTGCAAATATTTTCTTCCATTCTGTGGATTAGTGCACTTTCATCTCATTACTTTCCCTTAAGAAATTCTTAAACGTGTAAACAGCTAAATAAGAGGTATGGTATATTTTTCAAACATTGATTGCCAAGTTGCCTTCTGGAAAGGTTAGACCAGTTTACAGTCCTTCCATAAGAGATGGCGAATTTTCCCAAGACTTTCTCAATGCTGCTTATGATCTCTTTAAACTCTGTTAAGGTATTAGGTGAAAAGTGATTTGTTTTTATTTGCAATGCACTGTATATTAATGAGATTAAACATTCTACGTACTTATTGTCCATTTGTATTTCATCTTTCATGAAACTCATGGTTTTTTTTTTTGTCCAGCTTTCTTTTTGGATTTTTCTCCTTTTTCTCAGTAACTTTTAGATGTTCTTTATATAGGAATATTAATCATGCATTATATGTTACAGATATATTTTCCCATAGCTTCATTTATGGTCATCCTTGAATCTTAAAACTGTTTTACTTATAGCTAGCCATATTTCAGCTCTGCAAAATAAAGTGACCTCACACATTACACAGCAACAGAAACAAGTTCCCAGATGCCTTGCAGACATAGTTACAAACTCTGCAGCTCAAATCACCTAATAATTACATCTCTCCAAGCTGTGAGTAGGATTCAGAATATTTAATTCACAGGTCAAATCCTGATTTGAAGTGTTCTGGGCAGGCAACAACATCTTCTCGGGTACTTAGTTTTGACTTCATATTCCTGAGATCCTTCTGGCTTCCTCAAGAAGCAAAATCCCAGCAATGGGGGACTTTGAGGGACAGGAATCATTTCTCATCACTCCCATGTCATGTTAGGACTCCTAGAAGTCCGGTGCCTGGTAAAGAACAGCAATCCAGGAGAAGTATTGTGCTTTCTCATATTTTTAGCAGATCTCAGCTGGCCCTGGGTGGGGTTCTGGAGGACTGATTCAGTTGCTTGTCGTTCATTGTAAGCAGGTAGAAGTGGAAAATTGTGCTCTTAAAACTATTCATTAAAAATATAATCTTTCTCTGTCTGGGGTCAACGTGAGATAATTACAATATTTATGACAAATGATAAATGCTGGAGAGGGTGTGGAGAAAAAGGAACCCTCTCACACTGTTGGTGGGAATGTAGTTTGGTGCAGTCATTATGGAAAACAGTATGGAGTTTCCTTAAAAAACTGAAAAAAAAAAAAAAAGACTTACCATATGATCTAGCAGTCCCACTCCTGGGCTTATAAACAGAGGAAGCTCTAATTCAAAAGATACATGCACCCCAATGTTCATAGCAGTGCTCCTTACAATAGACAAGACATGGAAGCAACTTAAATGTCCATCGACAGATGATTGGATAAAGAAGATGTGGTATGTACATATAATGGAGTACTACTCAGCCATAAAAAAGAATGAAATAATGCCATTTGCAGCAAGACAGATGGACCTGGAGACTGTCATACTAAGTGAAGTAAGCCAGAAAGAGAAAGAAAAATACCATATGATATCACTTATATGTGGAATTTAAAAAAAATGACACAAATGAATTTATTTACAAACCGAAAATAGACTTGCAGACATAGGAAGGAAACTTATTGTTACCAGTGGGGGAAGGGATGGGTGGAGGTATAAATTGGGAGTTTGGGATTTGCAGATACTAACTACTATATGTAAAACAGATAAACAACAAGGTCTTATATAGCACAGGGAACTATATTCAATATATTCAATATCTATAATGAAAAAGAATATAAAAAAGGAATATACATATACATGTATAACTGAATCACTATGCTGGACACCAGAAATTAACACAACATTGTGAGCCAACTATAATTCAATTAAAAAAATAATTACTATATTTAGAAGGCAAACATTTCCAGCTTCTAACCTGGCAGAGATTTAAGCATCCATGTGAAAGGAGAGAGACTGGAAATATCCAAATAAATAGAGTACCAACTAAAAGGGGATGATAGCTACTGGGAAGAAGAGGATAAAAAGTGTCTAAACACTTAGGTCAGAAAGCCCCTTTCATCAGAGCTTTCCCCTGGGCTAAGGCAAGGCTCCCGGGACTTACCCTGATGAAAGAGTACAGGGACTTTCCATAGAGCCTCTTGAAGTTTGCACGGATGTCCAACATGTCAATCTCCGCTCGAGAAACCATCACTCTGATGAGGGTGTCATCATCGGTGCCCAGGCCCTAAGGCAGAGAACAAGGTTCCCGCATAGCAAAGCTGAGCTGGTTTTCAGATAGTGCTTTGGTCTGTGGTCTATCACGGCAAGACAAGGTATCAGTCCCCTGATGACATTCTTTGCACCATAACCTTAGAGGCTCGTGTAATATCGATCCTCACTGTGGGGTTCAAGGCTTTCCCCAACTTATCTTTCCCACACTCTGAGTTCTGACCAGGGGAGACTGCTCTCTGCCCTTCTAGACACATATCCCGTGTTTCCAGCCTGTCTGCCTCACCTACAGTGATGCCCCTACCATGTTATCCTTTTCTTCCCAGCTCTACCGTCCTTCCTAGTGTATAAAATCCCCTGATGTAAAACTTCCTTTAAGGTCCTGCTCATACACCAGCTTTTATATATATTCTCTTCTGATCCTCCCCTCCAAACAAACATTAAAAAAATACCTTTTCCTCTGTGTTCCTATAATATTTGAGTCCTCTTACATTCTATTTTGTTCTTACTGGTGTTTTGCACATACCTGCCTTCCTCTCAAGGCTAGAAGTTCTTTGGCAGCAAAAACTGCATTTTGATCTTTCTTGCCCCTCCCGTGGTTCTCAATAAGTGTGCTTGCATGTACAGTGCATGGTTTGGAGCTGAGGCTCTGAAGCCAGTCTGCCAAAGTTTGCACCCCTGCTCCATTACTTTCCTCACTGAAGACCCTGGGCAAATTGCCCTGTCTCTCTGTGCCTCAGTTTTCTCATCTGTAAAATGGGAGCTGATAACAGCACCTGCCCCATAGAGCTGTTGTGGGGATAAATTTAACCTATACATGCAAATCATCAGCCACAGTGATCACACATTATAAGTAATAAATAATACCCAGCATTATTATTAGCAGGCACTCAGTGAAGTATTAGAAAAATTGAACTGAATAGTTCAGGCTGATTTTGGCTAATTCGTGTGAGGGATATAAGTAAACATAGGAAGGTGGACACAAGACATGGCAGAGCCACTCAGATGCTAACAATGAGGCCATTTACCTTCATAGATTTATAAAGCCTTTCAGCAAAATATGCAGGCTTGTTCCTCATGCACTTTACTGTCAAGAGATAATAAAAAAGGTTACAGATAAAATCTACGAGAAGAAAGTGACAGTAGTTCCCTCTGTTTCTACAAGGTATGAAGTAGTATCTCTTGATTGCTTTGTTGAAAAAATTGAGCCAGTGTTTTATGAGCATAGGTGTATTGCAAGTGCTCGAGGCTGGGCAGGCTCACTGGAGATTCGGGCAGACCGAAGAAACTCTCGGAGCCGTAGGCACCTCTGATGTGCCTTTATTCTCGAGCAGTACACAGGCTTCAGTGGCCTTGGTGGTGGCAGAAAGTCCCGCCTGCCTTATATACCAAGGCAGACAGAGCTGGCATCTAGCCAAGTATTACCCAGGAGCTAACCAGTGCGCTTGCGTAGTGCAAATTATGCTAACACCACATGGGTACTGCACGCGTGGGACAACATAGCTGAGTCACTGGGCACCGGATGTCCGGCCAGGGAGCCTGAGTGACTCCATTTTCCCTACAATAGGCTATGCCTGTTCACAGATAGAGAGTACCCTCAATTTACTGTCAAGTTCCTGGAGAAATAATTAATAAAGGCCATTAAAGCAATAGGCAGCATGTAGTTTCAAAAAGACTATTATGATCTGTACCACATGAAACAGTTACTAGTTCTAACCATTCACAGACTTGCAAGATGCAGCTAGTATAAGATTACCCTTTCCATGTACTGAGATAGAAAGGCACAGAGGACATAAAATATATAAAGCCACGTGGTACAATTACAATCAAGTTGTATATTAACATTTCTTGCTTAAAATTCTGGATCACACATCATGAGTGATTTAAACAATTTTTTTTATCCCCGAAAAAAAATTTTCTACAGCCAACATGGCACCAAACTGATAATAAGGAGTAAAGTCTATAAATGTGTGTTTCTCCACTTCCCATCTCTTACCAGCTTACCTATGGCCAGCAGAGCATCTTCAAAGCTACCAGATGTTTCAGATTTAATACTCTGTTCAATATCCTTCTGTGATATCCTTTTGTATTCATCAAACACTACAAACAGTAACAAAATGGAATTATAAATAATAAAAAAAATAGAGGAAACTAAAATCTACAGAGAGAATGAGTATCTTTTAACTAGACCACACTATTTATTCTTTGGTATATTTCAAGACGAAACTAATTAGCAATATGGCAGGAGGCATATGGCAAGTAGAAGGCGCCGAAGGAGAGGAGGAAGGAATATTGTGAGTCTTGGAGGACGTCCGGCAAATCCCTTCCTTATGTGGGACCTTGTTTTCTCACACTTAAAATGGAGATAACCTCTGGAGAGATTTGCTTGGTTTCCTTAACAAGCAGAATGTCTCTTTAATTTTGGCTTTGCAGTCACCTGTATGTTCATCTTCCTTTTGCTCATCAGAACTAGAGCAATTCTACCTCTTCAAAACTGAGTCACATTTGATAACAGCTGGTTGCATCTTTTAATAGATCTTAAGATAATTTAAATGTTCCCTGCTTTTTTACCAAGTATTTTTGAATACTATGGACATATTTTCCTCTCCTGCTGCCTCCTTCTAGAGCCTTCTTAGAGAGGATATCTGTTTTACCTGCCTTCTTTGGGATGCTACCCCAGCCCCATCAGAGTGATTCTCAAAGGGCTGTCAATCCAAGGATACCCCATAAGCTCCAACAAATGAGTGACCAGTTCATCCAACCAGGACAAATTGGTCTTACCCTCCTGGGAATTTTTCAATTGAGCAGACCATGAGGATGGCCAAGAGCACTGAGTCATCTTTAACCTCAGAGAACATAAGAATCACCTGGAAACCTGTTAGACTCCCTGGGTGTCACTCAGAAATTCTAAGTCAGCCAGTCTGAAGTAGGAGTTTCGAGAATCAGCATTTTTAATGGAGACTGGATTTTAGGAAACTCTGCCTCACAAATAAATCCATGAGTCCCTTCTACCGAGATCCCCAGAACTGCCTTGACTTCTATTCTTTCTGGAGCTGTTTAGCTCTCTGTTCAATTCAATGGGCCGCTAGTATTTTCCATTTCCCTCTTGTCTCATTCTATATTATTTCCTCTTCTCCTATGTAAGTATTCAGTGTATACTGCTTGAAATTAAAAAATCTGATTGACACATTATCTAAGCCTCAGTATTCTCCACTGCAAATTGGGGAAAATACAGCTGCTTTTTTGGGATGTTGTAACAAATAATGCTTAACAATATGCTTAGCTGTGTACCTAGAAGAGAATTAACAAAACAATTGTTTTGAATCCTATTACTGTTGGTTGGTAAGAAAATTATGTTTTCTTTATCCAAATAATGTTTCAAAGATTTTCTTCCAGTGGCTTACAAGCAGATATTTTATAACTGCCCAACTACTGATTTTTTTCTCCTGGAAGTGAAAATTGTTAAAAATGTATTTGCATTGTTTCTGGGACCTGCAGTTCTCAGAAAACATCACCAGGGGGAGATTTGTGTTGTGAGTAATCAGGCAAGGGAAGTCAAAAAAATAGGGAGCTGAGTCAGAAGTTGGGGCATCTGATGAGAGCCCAGGGCATTTATTAATCACCTACTGTCACTGTGGCATATCTGAAATAATTGCAACTTCCAAATGTGTTGTAATTTTCAATTACTTTGTTTATATTTCCAATTTAGCAAACTCATTCTTCTCAAATTTCCCACAAGTTTTGTAAATTGTGATATAAGGGCCTAGTGAGGTTTGTAAAATTAGGATCTAGCAGTAAAGACCTAAAGAGCTTATATAAAAGATGAAATATCTTATTAAACCTTTATTGCTGTTTACAAGAAGAAAATAAATCTGACACCAAATATTCTACAACTGTATAGGATCTTTTTTCCCAAAGAAGTTAAAAGCACATGACAAAGACCAGCATTATCAGAAGCCAATTAGAAACACTACACATAGGAAATAAAATGTGCAATTATCCACTATTCATCTTATGCAACATACCAGCTAAAGAAATCACTTCTATTAGCTTTACAACCTGGATGTTACATAGGAATAAATGTCAAGCAATGTTTCTATTTTATTGCTTGCTGAAGTACTAAAGATTTTTTTTTTAATATAGCTAAATTTCAGTGGAGCTGCTTTAGAAAAAGGACTGCCTAAGTGAAGGTCAGTTTCCTACACACAGGAATGCCAAACTTCTATGAATACGTTGTCTATCTGCTAGTTATTCATAATTAATCTCTCAGAATTGGCCCTCATGCACCTTGCACTCATAGATTTCCAAGGTAAGACATCTAGGACAGCTCAGTACAATTAAGGTCTCTGTCCTGAGTAAAGGAAAAAAGGTTACCAATTATGGGTAATAGAATTTTTCACCATCTTTCAAACAGTTTCTTTGGAAGATGAGTGGCTTACCGTGCAACAGATGATTTCGATTCCGCGAGCAGAGAATAGTTAGAAATTTCACCTCATCTGTCCCCCATTTCTTCTCTCCAGCCTCATACAGATCCTGAAGCCAAGCAAAGCACAAGTTTAAAACACAACACAGAATGTGCCAGGACCTATGCAAATATTTCCAGAACTTCAAAGAGCGGAGTTGGCTTGGTTTTATTTTGTTGGTGACACGGGTGGAAGTGGTGTTGGCAGTGAATGGAAATGACTCAGGATTTTTCCTTAGATAGAAGACTAATGGGACTCTCTGATCTCTCCTTGAGAGTTAGAGCAAACACCAGCAGCTTCCTATTTACAGACTGCATGGTTCTGTCTTAAAAGCTAAAAAGAATGCCCTAGACTTGGGCTGTTCCATGCAGTAGCCACTAACCACATGCAGCTATTTAAAATTTGAAGTTAATTAAAATTAAATACATTTAAAATTCAACTCCTCAGTCACACTAGCCACATTACAAGCACTCAGTGGCCATATGTGGCTAGTGGCTACTCACAGTGGACAGGGCAGATGCAGAACATTTTCAACACTGTGGAAAGTTCTATTGGATAACGTCACTCTGTAATGATCTGCGAGTTGCTTGAGACAACAGGTCTCACAGTAGAACCAGGACCCTTTTAGTAACTGCTTATATCCCAACCAGGAAGGAATATAAGAAATTGATTTTGGTTGCTTTAATTATATGATTGAGAAGTCAAAACTACTGTTCATCTCATCTCACACCCATCAGGATGGCTGCTATTAACAACAAACAAACAAACCAAAAATAACACGTGTTGATGAGGATGTGAAGAAATTCCATTCTCATGGAATTCTGGCTTTCCAGACGCCCTCTCTTGAAACGCAGTCCCTGGAGAGGCCACATGTAGGAGATCTGTTTGAAGACCCAGATGAGCCCAGCCTTTGAGTCATCGCAGCCCAGACACCAACGCAGGAGTGAAGGAGCCTCCAACCCTCCAGCCATTTGCGTCACCTCCGGCTGTTCGAATATTCCCAGCTAAGACCTCAGACACTACAGAGCGTGGACAAGCCGTCTCAGCTGTGCCTTGTCTGAATTATTGACCCACAGAATCCATGGGCATAATAAAATGGTGGTGGATTAATGTCACTAAGTTTGAGGTGGTCTGTCACACAGCAGCAGTGAGTAGAGCATGTGGATGAAGAGAGAACTTTCCATCTGTCACAGTGCGGTACTTTAGTAAAATACCTTAAAAATGAACTTGAAAAGAGTAAAGTTTTAGTAATGGGTAGAAAATGGTTATCTTTTCGTGTTCGGTTTTTTAACATTGTTAGTGACGCTGGACAGTCTTTGGTGTATTTGCCGTTTCATTTCTGTTTTTCCTTTTTTTGCGTTGCCTGTTAATGTCCATTGTCTTTTTTTAAGATATGAGGCATTCTTATTCATGGTATCAAATTTATGTTTGAACGAAGTTTACCTATATACTTCATATATTAAGCTTATAATTCATAAGGTTTTTTTTTTTTAATACAGCCAAACTACCAAGACTTTTCCTTTATGGCTTCTGCCTTGAAAGAAAATGCATGCAAAATCCTTTCCCAGCTCTGATTAAAAAAAAATTTATTCTTTATGACAGTACCTTAATGACACTTTATTTACATTAAAAATGTCAATCTATTTGGAATTTATTATGAGGCAAAGTGAAAGTAGGGACCTAACTTTATTTTTTCCCAAATGGTTAACTCATTGTCCCAACTTCACTAAGTAATCTGTGTTTTCCTCAGTGACTTGAAACTCTATCTTCTCACACAGGCGTGGTTCTGCTCTTAGACTTTCTAATCCTTCCATTGGCTTCTTTCTATTCTTACACCAGGACCAAACACTTTATTTTTACCTTTATTATGCATTTAAACATATATTAGGTCAAGTCTGTCTACACCCTCCTTGTCTCAGAGTCTAATCGCCACTGTCTTTCCCCTGTAGTCCTCCTCCTCTCTGACTGCTCTGTCCTCATCTCCTGAGCTCTGGAGATTTTTTCAGTATCACCGCCCACAACAATGATTGTTTTCTGCAATGTCATTTCTGATCATTCCTGCTTCTAATAAACATTTAGATTCTGTCTGTCCTTGCTTCATCGAAGAATATTTCTCCTCCACTCTTCTAGCCCTCTCTTTCTCTCTGCTTGCCCTCCATCCAGCTCCATTTTTATCTCCATTATTTTCTCATTGCATTTTTTTTTAGCTCTCATTTAATTAAAATTCATTGTTCTCTCATTTGTTCCCCGCCCAAGCCATATTCTTCCACAGCAGGTCTGCCAGCCTCAGCCCTGTCGGCATTTGGGACCACCCCCCTACCCCAACCCATGCACTGGAGGGTGTGCGGCAGCAGACCTGGCCTCCACCCACGAACTGCCAGCAGCACCCCACTTCCTGCCTGCTTTCCAGACCCTGCCACGTGCCCTGGGAGGGACACACAACTGCCCCTGGTTGAGAGCTACTGATCGACAGCCTTTGTTTGACCCTCAACCCTAAACATCTTAGGAAATAGCAAAATGCACTCTCCACCTCCAAGGAGGCCATGACAGCCCTGGTTATACCTGCCGCCCCTGTGCGGTCAGCAGCCCCCTTTGCTCCCCAGTGCCCTGGTTTGGACGATCTTTTATAGGGTTATGGTCGGCCCATCGAGGGGCTCCACATGGGGGCCTGACTTCTGCCTCACCTACTGGACACGTGCCAGGAGCGAACCTTTGGCGTTCCTTCCAAAACGACTAAACCACCTCCTGCTCCTTGTGAAGGGTCCTCACAGCACGAGCACTCATGGACCAGGTGGCTCTGGACCTTCTCCCCCACCTAGGGCCCTGCTCTGAACATGGGCCAGAGGCCCCCCAGGGAGTAACAGGTCCTGAGAGGACAAAGGCCACTGATACCGGCTCAGCGGCTCAGCCAGGCAAGCAAGTCACACCTGACCAATGACTTCTACAGAGTCCTCCCCAGACAGACCTACTGAAGGCTCACTTCCAGGAAGGGGACCTTCTCCTGCTCAGTTCCATTGTGCCCAAAGCTTGCCATGTGCTTATACACGTATCTCATTTAATCCTCACAACGTGCTTTCATGGGAGAAAAAGAGAATCGCGATGCCCGATTCAAGCCATTCTTAGTGCCCGCAGGTCTGAGCACTGAGCGCAGAAACAGCCGCTTTCTCTGCGCCCAGCGGCACAGGGGCAGCCGGGCAGCCGCGTCCCGGGTGCCGGCTGGGCCGGGGTCTGCTGGGTAGTGGCTGTGCTCTCGTCCGCGCCAGGATCCCGAGCGGCCTGGAATCCGTCTCTTCCTTACAGTCCCATGTTCACCGTCGTGCCTCGGTTTGTTCCCAGGCCACATAGCGTTTGACTTGCTGATTTTCATGCTGGTTCCGTCTTTAAATGATGCACTGTCTACCCGGACCTGGTTTTTCCCCCAGAACGAGGTGAAGTCGAGTCTTCTTAGAGCTCCTCACTGTTCATGTGGATGAATTTCAAGCAGGAGCACTTGCTGCCAGTCCAGCGGGGGCAGCTGAGACGCAGCCCAAGTCTTCCCTGAGGAGCCCCCATGCCCCCACCCCGTTTCCATGAAGCTGTTGTGCCTGCTTCCAGCTGGGGGAGGGGAGTGATGGTGGGGGAGGTTTAGCCTCTTTTCTGGGGGCAGGAATGGCCCCCCTGTGTCCTCGGCCCAGGTTTGCTGCCCATCTGGCATTTGAATGGCCCACCTCCATGGTTTCCAGTGTTGACGCAGATTTTTCTCTATTTTTGTATTTCCCAGTTTGTTTGTTTTTCACAAGGGAATCAAATATGTGCCATCTTCTAACAAAAGCTCCAAAGGGCATTTTTCATATGTTATGAATGTCTTTTTACAGCAGGAATTCTGAACACTACCTATTACTTCCTGTAGTGCAATTTTCATCCCAAGAATAGATAAAATTGGACTCTTAGATAACAGCCTCACTGTATTTTTAATTTTCTTCCTGTTATAATAAATTACCACCTTATTCCACCTGCCCTGATAATTCTTCTCACCTCAGACTCATTTACTTTCCTACAGCAAAATTCAGCCATACTTCTCACAGTTTGCAAACGTCCCTTGCTACTGATGCACGTAGCATAGATTGACCAAGTTTTCCTATTGCCTTATCTGGAAAGAAGAGCTGAAATCTTGGCTGAAGTTGTTAAATTCCTGGCCTCTTCATAAGACTCGGAGGATCCAGAAAAACCCTCTTCTGAGTCCCACTCCCTGAGTCCAACCTCCTCGAGCCCAAATTTGTTTGGAAGCACTTTTCACCTTGTCACTTCCAAGAACTATGCTCCTTGAAGAACATCAAAACATTTATTTGTTGAATTGCATGGCTTTTGTTTTGTTTTAAATGTAGGTATAACTGACATAGAGCATTATGTTAATTTCAGGCGTAAAACGTAACGATTTGATATTTGTGAATACTGCAAAGTGATCACCACAGTGAGTCTAGTTAACATCTGTCACCATACACAGTGACAGAATTTTTTTTTCTTACGATGAGGACTTTTAAGATCTATCCTCTTAGCAATTTTCAAATATGCAATACAGTGTTATTAACTGTACTATTAGAAAAATACCATATGAGATCGCTCATATGTGGAATCTAAAAAACAAACAAACAAACAAACAAAAATAAAGCGTAAATATAGGACAGAAATAGACTCAGAGAGAGAGAATACAGACTTGTGGTTGCCAGGGGGGCGGAGGGTGGGAAGGGATAGGCTGGGATTTCAAAATTGTAGAATAGATAAATAAGATTATACTGTATAGCACAGGGAAATATACACAAAATGTTATGATAAATCACAGAGAAAAAAAATGTGACAGTGAGTGTGTATATGTCCATGTATGACTGAAAAATTGTGCTGAACACTGGAATTTGACACAACATTGTAAAATGATTATAAATCAATAAAAATGTTAAAAAAACTGTACTATTATCACCATGCTGTATATTACATCCTCATGACTTATTTATAACTGTAAGTCTGTACTGTTTGACCCCCTTTACCCATTTTACCCACTCCCTACTCCCTGCCTCTGGCAACCACCAATCTGTTCTCTGTATCTATGAGCTTGTTTTGTTATTGTTGTTGTTTGTTTGTTTGGATTCCACATATAAGTGAGCGCAAACAGTATTTGTCTTTCTCTTTCTGACTTATTTATTTTAGCATAATGCCCTCAAGGTCCATCCATGTTGTCACAAATGATAAGATGTGACTCTTTTTGGTGACTGAATAGTATTATTCCATTACATATGTACCACAACTTCTTTATCCATTCATCTATTGATGGACACTGAGGTTGCTTCTGTATCTTGGCTATTGTAAATAATACTGCAATGAACATGCGGGTGCATGCATCTTTTCAAGTTAGTATTTTTTTTTTCTCCAGTAAATACCAGAAGTGAAATTGCTGGATCACAAGGTAGCTCTATTTGTATTCTTCTGAGGAAGCTTCGTACTATTTTTCATAGTGGCTGCACCAATTTACATCCCCACTGACAGTGCACGAGGGCTCCCCTTTTTTCACATCCTTGTCAATACTTGTTATTTGTTGTCTTTTTGATGACAGCCATTCTGACGGGTGTGACGTGACATCTCATTGTGGTTTTGATTTGCATTTCCCTGATCATTAGTGATGTTGAGCATCTTTTCATGTGTCTGTTGGCCGTCTGTATGTCTTTAGAAAAATGTCTACTCAGACCTTCTGCCCATCTTAAAAACAGATTGTTTGGAGTTTTTGCTATTGAGTTGTTTGAGTTCTTTGTATATTTTGGATATTAACCCTTTATCAGATACGTGATTTGCAAATATTTTCTTCTGTTCAGTAGGTTGCCTTTTCATTTTGTTGATGGTTTCTTTTGCTGTGCAGAAACTTTTTAGTTTAATGTAGTCCCACTTTTTAGTTTTGCTTTTGGTGTCAGATTAAAATCATTGCCAAGACCTAAGTCTTATAGCCTATCAACTATGTTTTCTTCTAGGAGAATTATGGTTTCAGGTCTTACACTCGAGTCTTTAATCCATTTTTGAGTGAATTTTTGTGTATGGCGTAGACAGCAGTCCAGTTTCATTCTTTTACTTGTGGCTGTTCAGTTTTCCAACACCATTTATTGAAGAGACTATCTTTTTCCCATTGTATATTCTTGCCTCCTTTTTCATAAATCAATTGACCATATATTTATTTCTGGGGTTTCTATTCTGTTCCATTGATCTACGTGTCTGTTATAATGCCAACACCTTACTGTTTTGATTACTACAGCTTTGTAATATGAATTGCATGGTTTAAAAAAAAAATCAGACAGATCTGGATTCAAAGAGCCCAGTTCTACCAGCTATTTGATTTCTGTCCAAGTTATTTAAATCAGTGCAACAGTCTCCTAATCTATAAAACAGAAGTAATAATATCTATTTCACAGATTTGTTGTAAGGAAAAAACAAGTCTTCCACCTAGTCAATGCCTAAAACAGTGATCATGGATATAATGTTTCAGAAATAAATTCCTTATTAACTCTTCATTTAAATATGGGGTTCCCTGGGCTATAGAGGTTCCTTCCAGCATGTCCCAAAATGCTCTCCTTGAGGTAGCTGGCATTCACATAAGCATCAGAGAGTTACACTGTTTTCAGTACCCTCTCCCTCCTCAAAGCTTCCGGACTGAAGGCAATTTCCTGTATCTCCTCGGTGCATTAGGCCTCCCTGAATCCTCAGAACTCTTAGGACCCATCTACTTCTCTCCCTTCTAGCGAAAGCAAAAGGTTCTTTCCTCCAGAATCCACAGAGGTTCCTACCTCACATACTGAATGGGACCAATCTCTCTCTAAGGTTGTATATTGGTTAAGAGTACAGAGTCTAGATCCAAATTGCCTAGGTTCAAATCCAAGTTCTGTCATTTATTATCTCTGTGAACTTGAGAAAGGAACTTGACTTCTCTGAGCCTCAATTTTCCTTGTCCATAAAATGGGGATAACAATACTTATTTCATAGAGTTACTGCAAGGATGCAATGACTTACATCATACAAAGAGTTGGGAACAGTGTTTGATACCTGGCAAGGACTCATGATTTTACTAGCTATTATTATTAGTGTTGTCTAGCCACAGTAAATACACCAGGGGTTGGTGCCAGGGAAGCAACTGCCTCTTGGGGTTTGGCATTAATTTTACCCAACAGGGTACCCACTGTGCCAAGCCATTTTACATAGACTGTATCCGATGTTCCCTTTGGGGAGGTAAAAATTTGAGGTCAACAAAGCGAAGGCAGATCCCTTTACCTCCAAGCGATTCAGAAGACCCTCCAGACTTCTGTGGGGCAGCCACACCACGGTCCCAATGTTAGGAAATGTGGAACCCAGGGATGCTTATATAGCGATGCCCACGCCATGCCCCAGCCCCAGGTATCTCTGCAAGAAACTTCTGCTATTAAGGGTCATCTGTGAGAATCTTTTTTCATAACATATCCCAGTCTGGCCAACATACACTGAAAGAGAAGAGGGTGTCTCCCAACTCGGGCCTGTCTTACTGGTCCAAGAGAAGAAAGAAGCTGCAGTTCAACTCACCTGGGCATCCTGTCTCACGAGAGCATCATCCAGATAATTTCCTACATCCCTGCCACCCTGAGGATGAGAAACACAAACCAAAGAGACTGAGAGAGCATCCAGGACGATCTGGGGGCTCTGATAAGACAGAATACCTGGGAACCCAAGGATATGGTAATCAGACAGACGGGGTCATGATTCCAGCCCAGGAAGAGAGGACAGATGTCTTAGAATGTGCTTGCATTATGCCCATGGCTCTGATCTCCCCGAGCACAGCGTGAGCCCAGGGTGGCTCCCTGATGTTATGTGGATGTCTCTGACAGTTGAAGGGGCAGGAGGACAAATGCAGCCTGGTGACTGCCCCCACCACTACCACCCCGCCTCTTCCCACCTCCCCCCTGCTCCTGGGTCTCTCCAGCTGGCGTCTGTCTTCCTAACTGGCAAACCTACAGAAATCAATTCTGCCAAACAGGGGCTGGGCAGACAGGAGATCAAGAGACTCAGGGACCAATGTGGGGCTTAAGGAGCCCCTGAAAGTGCCCCATCCCTCTCCAACACCAGCTCGCCCGGAGGGCAGGGTTGAAGCCTTGGACGACTGCCAAACAGTGGCAAAACGGGATACTTTCCCCTGGTTTGTTGACTGTTTTATTGCTATACTGTCCCAGTGTGCTATGGTCTAGGCATGGCTCAGCAGGGGTAAATCTGGGAGGACAAGAAAAGATAGTAGGAAACAGAAAAGCAGGCTGGCGGAGGGAGGGAGGAAGGAAAAATTAGGGGCTTGTGATTTGCAGATACTAAATACTACATATAAAATAAATAAACAAGGTCCTACTGTATACTGCATAGCACAGGGAGCTATAGTCAATATCTTGTAGTAACCCTATAATGGAAAAGAATCTGAAAAATAGTATGTATATGTGTATAACTGAATCACTTTGCTCTACACCTGAAACTAACACATTGTAAATCAATTATACTTCAATAATAAAATTTGAAAAAAGCAGGCCGGCATTGTTAAGTAAATATTGGAGACAGAGCGAGGTGGGAGTTGGAGATGATTTCCAGCTTCTGCTTTGGCTGTTGGAAGAACAGCCACAACATTAAGAGAAAAAGACAAGCCAGGAAGAAGAGCTGGTTTGGAGGGGAAATGAGTTCGAGCTTCCTTTAGCAGGACTGATTTGGGGTGACGGCAGAATATCTGTAAGGAAACATCTAAAAAGCAGTGAGAAACGAGAGTCTCACACTCAGGAAGGAGGTCAGGGATGGAGATAAAACCATGAAGCTGTGTGAAACATCATGCAAATCCATCTCTCTTTTCTGGCACCCCTGCTCCCACACTAGCGCAGTCCTGCTCTTCTCTCACCTGGAATGCTGAGGGAACCTCCTGCCTCGTCTCCCAGCCTCCAGGTCAATTCATCTCACACATCGCCATGACATGGCTCGTCTAAAAAGGAGTTCCAATCATATGACTCTACTGCTCCCAAACCTTCAGAGGCTCCCCACTGCTCTCCAAAGAAAGTGTGGACTCCTCCCAGCAGAGGATCCTGGTTCATCTTTCCACCTTGCTCACAGAATTACCAGCTCAACTTCCCGGCCAGTTGTTCCCTGAACACACCCCATGTTTCCTGCCTCCTTGTCTTGTACTGCTGTTCTTCCAGCCGGGAACGCACCCTCCCGCACCTATGCCTCTAAAAATCCTAGCCACCCTCCGAGTCCTTTCTGAGCCAGCTTCTGTGCCATGAAGCCGTTTCTTTGTTTATGCAAACAAAAATCTCTCCTTGATCCTTCCTTTTCCTCTGTGCCTCTTTCTGGGGCACTTCCTTTCACGCCTGTGTTATAGCAACCTGTGTAGCTGGTATATCCCCTGATGACAATACAAACTTTCAAAGGCCAGGGCTGCCTCTTAATCATGTTCATCACTTTCAGCGCACTAAGTGGTAGGAGCACCTGCCATGCATCAGGTACTTGTCTGCATAAATGAGAACAGATGGGCACATGTGATTAGCCAGAGTCTCTAAAGGAGAGAAGATAAAGGAACAGAGAGAACCAAGAGAAACACAGGGGAATATGCACATTTGGGAGGTTGAGAGGATGAGAAAAGGCTGGAAAAAGGGAGAGAGAGTGAGCCTCTTAATCAAACCCAACCCCGTCAAAAGCAGCCAATGGAGGGAGTGACTCACAGCGGACAGAGACACCAGCACCCGCTGGAACATGAAGGAAGTGTCGGAGCGAATGTCATCTTCAAGGCTCCGCCCATATTCTAGCAAGAGAGTAAAATGAGCCGCATCAGTTTTCCAAAACCTGAACTATGGTAAAATGGTCAAGATCGGTCTAGCCCGTCATCATGGGGGAAATGAGATGTTTCTGGTCCTTAAAATGGGACACCCAGAGGGCGAGGCTGTGATCCCCACTCCGTGGTCCCTACTGTCCAGGGGTCTATCCTGAGCGTGGTTTGCAGGACGTGGAGAACTGGAAAGGCTGAGCTGCACGTGGACAGGCAAACAGAGCCGAGTTCCTGAACCCATGTCTGGGGACAAGCAGGGGGCTGTCAAGCCCAAGTTCATCACAGCCCCAAGGGGAGAAGACCTGTGGTCAGCAAGGGGGGGTGAGGGGGGCCAGCGTGAGAACCAGGCTCCCAAGGTTTAGAATCGTCTGCTCTAAACACTTACCAAAAACCTCTTACTGTTTTGTTTTCTTTCTACCAAAGTGCACATGTTTATTACAGAAAACTTAGGGGAAAAGAAATAAGCAAAATGAAGGGGGAAAAAACAAAACCTCACCATTAATCTAATTACCCAGAAATAATAATCATTGAGAACATTTTGGAGAATACCCTTCCTCATTTTCCCCCCTGTACACATATTATTTTTCTTTCTTTAAAAATGGGATCATAAAGGGGAAGGGTATATAGCTCAGTGGTAGAGCAGGTGCTTAGCATGCATGAGATCCTGGGTTCAATCCCCAGTACCTCCATTAAATAAATAAATAAACCCTAATTACCTCCCCCTAAAACAAAAACAAAAAGTCAAAAAAAATTTTTTTAAATGGGATCATAGCATATCATTTTATAATTTGTCTTTTTCATTTACCCACCTACCACACTGCTGAATGTAATTTAATAATATCCTTCAATATATGTTTTGATGACTGCATAATAGTCCACGGTGTGGACAATATTTTGTTCAGCCAATCTGCTACTGTGTAGGACATTTTAAGCTAATACAAACAGTACTGAAAAAACACTGTGGGAATCTAAGCCTTTGTGTGTTTTTTTTATTATTATTATATTATTAGGGCAAAAAGGCATGCATCTTTTAAAGGCTCCTCATATGTGTTATTCTCTGGAGATTTTCTTTTTTTCTTTCTTTCTTTTTTTTTTTTTTTTGCCAGGGGGCAGTAATTAGGTCTGTTTATTTATTTAATGGCAGTACTGGGGATTGAACCCAGGACCTTGTGCATGTTAAGCACACACTCTCCCGCTGAGCTATACCCTCCCCGCCCGTCCTCTGGAGATTTTTAACAGTTGGGGGTAAATGGCTGTCACTCTGAGGTGGCTGCAGGACCTTCAGTCCAGTCTGAAGGTAGGATGGTGGGCCAGACAGCTTCTCCCAGCAGTTCCCTGGAATGCTGAGATTCACTGGTGTCACCAACCTTGAACAAGCACCTCTGAATCTCTGCTGGGTAAGGAACATCTTTCCAGCTTTCAGGGTAATAAAACACTTCGCCCGGGAGCCTAAGTAGAGTGGCTGGTGCACCTGAGAAGACTTGAAAAGCCATTTGTCTAGACAGGGATCCGTCTGAAAACAGAGCTTGGATCTGAGGATCTCCCTCGGTCAGCGTTTCAATGAGGAGTGTCTGATCAGTGCATAGCCACCTGCTGCTAGTCTAGTTCTCAGAGCACAGGGCCTCAGCCAGGGCCACTGAGGATGCTACGTACGCAGCTGGTAGGTCTGGTTTATGTGTCGGATCTCCTCTGGCGACCGGGAGGCCAGGATCTCGATCAGGCAGCCCTCGTCCGTGCCAGCTCCCTACATGCAAAACCCAGAGGAGAGAGTGTCAGGACTCAGTTTACCAAGTCGAGTCCCAGGCATAGGAGGAACACAACCGGGAATCTGCAGAGAATAAAGACAACTCACCGAATTCGAGCAACCGGATTTTCTCACTTTTAATTGTCCCACTCAAATTCCAACGTGTTTATCGTAATCATTATTTGCAATAACAAACATTTATGGGCTGTTTCTATGTGTTGGTTATTGTTCCAGGTTAGGGGCAGTTTCTGCCCCCTGGGGGCTTAGTCTTTCCTTGACCCCCTGTACCTTTCCTTTGAAGGGCAGAATCCTCTGGCAAAGGCTGTTACCTCTTTGTTTTCCCAAAAAGCCTAGCCCAGAAACTTCCACAAGGCTGAGTATTTATTTATTTATTTATTTATTTTAATTTTTTTTTTTGGCTGAGTATTTATTGACATAGCTGAGGAGGGTCACTGTCTCTGAATTACATACTTGGTCATTGAAAACTGGAGGACCCTGGATCAGGGCACAGTGGATCTGGTAACTAAGGAGGCTGAGAACCCTTTTTGGGGGTCAGTTTTGAGCTCACAGCAGACCCAGAGGTGTCAGTCAAAGGTTCCACATCTCAGAAGTCTCTAATACAGCAAGAAAGTTTGTGGAGCTGCGCCAGAAAGCACTCCCCAAGGAGCCCCGGGAAACACCAAATGATTCCCCAGTTTAGGGGGAAAGATCTGTATACTTACAATTGCCATCATGTAATGTCATGTTTTCAAGCCGTCCTACATAAAGGGACATCTTTCTCCTATACCTCCTCCTCCCCACTCTCAGAAGGCCCTTGTCACAGTGTGTTGAGAAAGCCTGGCAGTGGTCCGCGCTGGCCCTGCCAGCCCCGCAGCCGAGGGGAGGGGCACGCACCTTCATGGCCCTTCGCAGCTCCTGCACGTCGTACAGCACGGTGGGCGTCATCAGCCCCAAGATCACCTGCTCGAAGTTGCCACTCAGTTCCGATTTCAAGTCATCCAGCAGCTCCTGCGATGCAAGAAAGCGCTCTGCTTAACTGCTGTGGTAGCTTAAACTCGCCGCCCTCAGTGTGGTCCAGGGATGTCTGGAGCCTCTGAGATCCCCTCCTGGGGCCCGTGTGCGTGAAACCACCTTTATAGTAAGACTGTGAGACGCTGGGTTCTGATATTACACCATCATTCTCTCACAGTTGCACACTGGAGTTTTCCAAAGGCTGCTTGACACATCTACAGATCTTCAGTTACGTGAAAAGACACTAAAATACTTCTCCCTTTCCCAACTGCCTATGTGAGACTGGATTTTCTCCACACTCCAACCAAAACCACGTATGGCCACAAGCTGAATGCAGAAGCAGGTGTGAGAATCCAGCGTCTTCCATTAAACAGACATTAAAGAGATTTGCAATATATAAAACAATGTCAATCTTCTTACTAACTTTTTTTGGTTTGCTTTGGAACATAAAGCTCTTTTTCCTAAAAATGTTGTTTCTGTTGCATGTAATGTGTTTATTATTGTTTTTAAAATAAGCTAACAGATACATATTTTTAAATGTCCTCAATTTTCATTTCTAATATGGTTGATATCAATCGATGTCACCCACAATAACATAAAAGTCCTCAATAATTTAAGAGTGTACAGGGGTCCTGAGATCAGTGTATTCGCTCCTTTAACAACATACCCTGAATATATTTCCAAGTCAATATTCACCTACAACACTCTTAACAGCTACAGATAGTTCCCTATGTAGGCACAATACAATTTCTTTCTTTCTGTTTTTATTTTTCTACTATTCTTCTACACAGGCATTTAGCTGCATCTTTGTGGATCATTCATGATCACTTCTTAAGGCTCAGTTATTAAAAAGAAATGTAATTATTTGGACAAAGGACCAAATTCTAAACACATTTAGTCACATTTCCTCCTAGAACAGGTCAGAGAGTTTAAGAACCTGCTTAAGATCAACCAAGTAATAAGGAGACAATTTGCTATCAAGTTTAGATCTCTGATTCTCACAAACCTGAGTCCACAACACTGTACTTCAATCTATTGTGCATATTTTTGTTACATCCTCACGTGTCGAATGGATGAATGAACAAATAAATAAGCGTTCAGTCGATCCATTGACATTGGTCATCTTAACAAACTGCTGTCAGATTAGCTTAGTTCTGAAGCAGAATCATCAACCCTAAGTGTGTGGCGACACTCTGTCTCTAGTTCACACATTATGTGTATGGGCGCTAAATTTCTTTGGGAATGGAGAAGACTTTAAAATGCTCGGAAGATAGTCTGAGTAATCTGATGGGAAGAACTCCATTCTCCACTGGTGCTCAGCCAAAGTTTGTGTGCAGATGCTCCCGGGAAAAGGTGAGCCAGCCCTGTCCCACCCGACAGGTTAATCCCTGTCTTTGAAAAGCAGCCCTGTCTGACTAGCATTTTCAATTTTAATGTAATCTTTGTTTTAGTTTCTTTGTATTTACTTTTTTTATTTTTTATTTTTATTTTTTAAATTGAAGTATAGTGGTTTACAATGTTGTGTTAGTTTCTGGTGTACAGCATAGTGATTCAGTTATATATATATATATTCCTTTTCATATTCTCTTTCATTATACATTATTACAAGGTATTGACTATAGTTCCTGTGCTATACAACAGGACCGTGTTGTTTATTTTATATATAGCAGTTTGTACCTGCTAATCCCAAACTCCTAATTTATCCCTCTCCTCAACCCCTACCCCCACCTCCCAGTTGGTAACCATAAATTTGTTTTCTATGTCTGTGAGTCTGTTTCTGTTTTGTAAATAAGTGCATTTGTATCATTTTTTTTGATTCCACATATAAGTGATAGCATATGGTATTCTTCTTTCTGTTTCTGACGTTAATAAAATATCCAAGAACAGAAATACTTATCATGGTGTTACAGTACTCTGAGACCTGGACGTGCTCACTGATAGTGTTTCCTCAATAAAAAGATTCTCTAATCAGGCAGGTAGGTTTTCAGTGATGTGGAAAGACTGGGTGAGTGACTCTGGTAAATGAATTGTTGAAAATGAGACTGAGACGGGGTTCCTCAGGGGTGTGGGATTCAAACCCAAAGGGGAAAACATGATGACTGAACAACCTCTGAATGCATAAGCTACTAAAATACATATATATACAAACAGGTTTACGTAGAAGAGTCAGAATAGACTCTGAATCATACAAGAGCCTATTTAGAACAAACTGGATTTAAATATTTTAGTCAGTTTGGAGGATCTTCCTCCACAAGTGACCTAAAAAAAGACACCAGGCTGAGCAACACTGGAAGCTTAGCCCTGCCCGGTGCTCAGAAGGGTGGAGGTTGAGCCCATTCCACACCCAAGTCCCCGCAAGGACTTGTGAGAGATGAGACTAAACTTAGCTTTGAGTTTGTGAATCAAGAGCTCCCTGAAATCATGTCTGGCTAGGTACGGTGGAGGGACTTCTGTATATGTTGAAACTTTTTTCTTTCCCTCCAAGAACAGCTTTAAATAAGGCAAAGGATCTGTGTTTTAAAAAAAAAAAAAAGGGCCAGTCATCTGTTGATGAACATTTAGGTTGCCTCCAGGTCTTGGCTATTGTAAATGGTGCTGCTGTGAACACTGGGGTGCATGTATCTTTTCGAATGAGTGTTTTTACCCAGATATATGCCCAGGAGTGGGATTGCTGGATCATATTGTAACTCTATTTTCATTTTTTTAAGGAAACAAACTTATGTTTACCAAAGGGGAAAAGTTGGGGAGGGGAGGGATAAATTAGGAGTTTGAGATTAGTAGACAAACTACTACATACAAAATAGATAAACAACAAGGTCCTAATATATTGCACAGGGAATTACATTCAATACCTTGTAATAGCTATAATGAAAAAGAATATATATGTATAACTGAATCACTATGCAATACATCAGAAACGAACACAACATTGTAAATCAACTATAGTTCAATCAAAAGCAAAAACAAAAAAACACTAAAAACCATCACCACCAACAAAAACACAAAGGGCCACTACTTCAGGAATCAAGAAGGAAGAGGCCCCCGCTTCCCTGCTGCCTGTCAGGATCCTCGCCAACCACCCGGAGCCACAGAGTCGGCTGCCTACCCTGCCGATGGTGGTCTTGTAGGCCGTCCTGATTTCCTGGCGCTGGGCCGTGTTGCGGTAGGCCAGGACGTTGATGATGGCGTCTTCATCCGTGCCTGGTGTGGAGCAGAGATGGTGAGTGAGTGTGATTCGAGAGAGAAATGAGAAAAACGGGTTCCTCTGAGGACACTGGAGGAACCCAAACACACGCAGAGAGCTTGCTAAGAAAAGAAGTTCTTGTTCAGAGGTTTGTCCACTTTGGGGGGTAAAGAGCCACGAGATTTGAGTCTCAGTCTCTCCTTTAATTTAGCTATTTACCACTGAGCAAAGTAGTTAACGTCTCTGAGCATTAGTTTCCTTATCTATAAATGGGAGTGGTCACACTGTTTTCCCTCGCAGGGCTGCTGCAAGTGTTAAAACAATTAACTGAATTATTTAGCTCAGTTACTAAATAGCTAATAAATGTCATCTGGGATCACGCACTTCCCCTCCTCTGGAATTCGCATCATGTCTTTGGAGCGCCCATATTTATCTTCCATGTTCTTGCCTTTTCTCTCCTTGTTTTTCTCTCTTTTTCATCTTCTGAGTTTTGAAACAGTTCAAACCCATCTTTTAATTCACAGATTTGGCACTTGACAGGGTTTAAATTAGCTGCTCCCTGTATCCACTGCGTTTTGAGATCTGTAAATACATTTTTTCATTTCCAAGCTATCTTTCCTGATCCCTGATTGGGAACCTTTTTATAACTGCCCATGAATTCCCAAGATGTAATGCACTACCAAAACTTTTCATTATGAATTACACATTTAAAATGGCCTAAATTTTGCCTGCTTCTTGCAGCAGCTTTTACAGGGAGACTTTATTCTGACCCTTCGCGTTGGTCTTTCGTCTTAGTAACAGCTGGATATTCATGTACGTTGGGTGAGTTTTCCGTTTTCCATTGTTTATATTATATGAGGAGCTGTGATGAGTTACAGAGGAGAGTCTAATTGAAACATTTCAGGGAGAAATGAAAAAAATATAGATTCACCAAGTTATTCTTTGCAAAATTAGAGATCCACAAAAATGTGAGCTATAGGGAAGAAGCTATAAAATTTTAAGAATACATACCTTAGAAACCTACTCTCTGTTCTCTTAAAAAAAAAGGAAGGGTAATAGCTACACGCATCCTTTTTCCTGCAGAACTCTCAGCTGCGGGAGAAAGCTCGTCACCTTTTGCTAATTTACCCCATTTCTGTGAAAGGTACCACCCCTTTCTGGTTTGTCAGGCTTGAATCCTAAAAATAGCTTTAACTTTTGTACCCTCTCTCTTCCTTCACATTCAAATTCCCTGTCAAGTCACGCACAATCTAGCTCTAAAAGCTTTTTTGCATCCGTCGCCTCTTTTTAATGCCTACCACCACCACTCCAGTTGAGGTTTTTTTCTTAGATAACTGTAGAGTCGGCTAACTAGTATTCTCACCTCGTAACCGGTCTTCCCAAAGTCTTGCCACATTCATTTTCCTGAAAAGACCAACTCTCACGGTGTCCCCCCCTGCTCAGGATACAGGACGGCTCCCTACCATCTGCTGGATTTACTACCGGCGCTGCAGTCTGCCATTTGGGACTCTCCACAGTACCCCGTTCACTATTCTAAGTACCCACATGAAAGGATACAGGCAGCCAAATCCAGACACTTAGCTCTTGAATTACTGTACTTGACCCAACTATACTGCACTCCTCTCTCCTGACCTCCTTCGTCACCAGTCTACGGGCTTATGTCTCCCTAACCCCTCTATGTAGCATCCTGATCCTGGCATTGGTGGTTTCCTGGCCAATGCCTTTGGGCCATCCGCCCATGTCAGTAGCACCCTCAGGACCTCCCTGTGGTACCTGCCTTTTCAGAAGGCTCCTATCCAGCCAACTCCCGCTTTGTAAGCACATCCTGCTGGAAGCCACATCTCCATGTATTTATGGCGACTCCCTCAGGCCTCAGCTAAAATGGAAAACAGGAGGATGGTCACACTCATCCCCTGCCTTTGCTCATGCTATTCCAGTTCACCTGAAACACATCCTCTCTTATCTATTTATTTATTTACTGAATAAGCTCAATTCATCTCCTAAGGCCCATCTTGATTTCTACATCCTCCAGGAAGTTTTGCTTGATGCCCCCAGATGACATGTGATCTCTCTGACCCTTAATGGGATCTTTTCTGTGCCCCTCCTGTTGCTATCATATTATGAACTGATCACATTTCTGTGCATGCCTTGGCCACCTAACATCCATTGACTGACTGTTGGAATTTTGGACCACAGGACGGGGTTTATAGTCCTTGTCTTCTCTCACCGTCCGCCTGGCACCGGCCCACACAGCAGGCACTGAAAAGGGCTGGCTGTGTTCAATGTCTCCTGATTCTGATTTTGGGACTTCTGAATGTCATGTGGTCCACGTTCTGAAGGATGGTGTTCTTGCTGTACAGCAAGGAATGAACACACTTTGTAACACACTCTGCTGGACTCATAGGAGAGCTTAATAAATGTTCCCCATTATTGTGATTGTTGCTGTTAGTAGCACTGGGGCTAGGTAAGATGAGCTCTTTTGGGAAAGAAAAACTGGGAAATAACACCTCATGATCAAGCAGTTTTATCCAAATCACGAGGAGATTCTAAATAGCAGCTATGAACCAGAGAGCACGTCTTTGGCTAAATGCCCACCCAGGCAAGGTTGGAGGCAGGGTCCCGGCCAGCGTGGCCTGCAGCGCCCCGGCACGGCTGTGCCCACCGGGCTGGAGGGACTCTGCCCTCGGGAGCTTCCAGAGGGCTGTGCACTGAAGACAAGCTCTTCTGGTCTGGCCTTCTCACCTAAAATGCCACACATCGCATGTGGGTACCATCCCAGCTACACCCGTCACAGTCAGGCAGAGGGACTGACTCAGGGACAGAACACGGGCTTGGAGCTGGGAGGCCCGAGCTTCAGGTGGGCTCTGCTGAGTGTGCTACGTGCTATGTGCCTTAGTGTGTTCCTTCTCTGAGTCTCACTTTCACATCTGTAAAATGGGGTGGAAACACCAATAACACCAGCTGCTCCCGCTACGTCACAGCGTATATCCGTTAAGATAACATCTGTGAAAGTGCCTTGTAAACCTTGTGGCACTACAAGCATGCATCAGTTAACTGGAAAACAAATACATTTCTAAAGTTCTAGAAATTCATAATGCTGTGATGCAAAAGAGGTTTAAATAATTGGGGAAATCTGGAATGAGTGCATTAAATTTAAAATTCTGGAGTAAGAGTGAGTAATTAATGCCCTCCCACCAAGTTTGCTTTGCAAAGCCAACGTGTTCCCATGGTGTTTTCTTAGTGAGACTGACTCACAACTGCCTGTGGACACAACACCCTCTGTGTTGCACAACACACGAGGGGGTGTTTGCCTCCAGTGGGACACTTATGGTGACACTTACCGAGCCCTTTCATGGCCTTCCTCAGGGTCTGGGCATCTTCGGAGGCGTTGAAGCCTGAAGCAGCTTTGACGGTGCCTCCCTTGGCTGCCTGAGCACACAGAGAGAGACGTAACTGACAGGTACCCTCCCACCAGCATGGCGGCATCTCATGCGGCAAACGTTGGCTGAGTGCCCACGTGGGCCAGACGCATTTCCACGTGCTGGGACACAGCAGTGACTGTGAGACATGAGGCTCATGCTCTCCTGGAGCTGACGTTCAAGTTCGGCAGGAGGCAGACAGTAAACAAGCCAAGAAATTAATATTCCACCAGGCAGCTGGTGGTGAGAAGTGCTACAGGGCAGAGAGAGGTCCTGGAGGGGCTGCTCTGAGCAGTGATGTTCAGGCTGGGATCAGAATGACAGGAAGTAGCTGACTGCAAAGATCGGGGAAAGTGTTCCAGGCAGAGGAAACAGCGGATGCAAAGGACCTGAGGCTGGAACTGGCTTCTGCGGGAGGAGCAGGACAGAGGCCAGGGAGGCTCGAGTTGGTGGGCAAGCTGGGGAGTGGAAAGAGAAATGACACCACTGCCTACGAAGTTGTCTTATCTACCTAGGGAGGGGAAAATCAGACCTGAATCCAGTCAAGCCTCTAGGGCCAAATCCCAATTTACAGTAAACAGGAGAGAGAAGAAAATGTTAACCCTCACCACCACAGGGCTGTGATCAGCGAAACCCAGACTGTGAGAAACACTGTTTGACAAATGGTCTAGGTTCTTCAACAAGTAAGTTGCAAGGAGAATTAGAAAAGAGAAGGATGGAGGATAAATACAGCTTAAAAGAGATAAATAGGAGTATCAATAATCATAATGCATGAAACTTATTTGGATCCTGAATCAAACGAACAGTAAAAAAATAGGACATTTATGAGACAATTGGACATTTAACACTGACTTGATACTTAGTGACACTAAGTAACTAGTGTTAATGTTTTTAGGTATGATAATGGTATTGTGGTTATATATCTTTTTTTTTAAAGAGTTTGAATCATGCATACATTGAAATAGCATATAGGTGAGAGGATAGTGAACGAGGATTAATAAAATGGCCACACTTAGGCTAACAGATTGCTTATTCTTAAGCTTGCCCTTAAAACGGTCAGTTAATCTGACTGACCGGTTGCTACTCACAGCTCTAGGCCCATTGTTAAAACTAAAGCTATTAATTTTGCTGTTTCTACTTTATTCCAGTAATTGAAAGCAATTATCATACTTGGTTTCTGAGTTGTTCTCCAGGGAGGTCACAGAACTGTAACCTTACAAAGTAGGCTAAACACCAAGAAGACCACGCCTTGGATGCTTATGAGATAAAGAGATCAAAAAAGTGACAGCTAGCCTCTATAGAATTGGTCACCTGGAGGCACCATGACTCCACTCTAGTCTTCTGATGAGAAAATAATTCTGTTGATTGTTATTGGTGCTTTATTGTTTAAGCTGTGGCTATATATAATCACCCTACCGCATCTCCAAGAGGGGTTCACAGTTCTGAAGGCACCAGCCTGCTAGAAGTCCCCTTTGCCCGGCAAAGTAATAAAGCTGCCTCTTTTCTTCTAAGCTCCAAGACCCTGTCTCTGAGTTATTTGGCTTGTCAGGGACGGCGGCCGATCTTTCAGCAACAATAAGATGTCTGGAATTTGCTTCAGAATAACACAAGGTGGGAGAAGTAAGTGGAGAGAAACAAGGCTGACCAGGAGTTCACAGCTGCTGACAGGCACAAAGGGATTCTTTTTCATATTTGGTTTACTTTCCTATGTGTTTACACTGTCGACTGAAATAAATACACAGCCTAAAAGTTGAGAGCTATATTTTATTCCGCGGACATTTCTGAGGGCTCCAACTCCTTCGAGCCCAGGAGGACAGCCTCTCAGATCGCTCTGAGGGACCACTCCGAAAACGTAGGGGAGGAGCCAGGATATATAGGAGTTTTACAACAAAGATCAGGAATTCAGAACATTAAAGATTACTGTTAAAGAAAACCAGACATCTCAAGTTAAAGAACTGAGTGCTTTTCTATGCATGGGAAGGAGCAAACGTCTGGGCTCACTGAAATCATTCCTTTGATAAGTACCCAGCTATCTAGGGCCAGTGTCCTGTGCTTTCACATCCCGAGTCCCCTCAGGCTGCAGAGGCGGGGGTAGGAGGTTGTGGGGGTGTGGAAGTGGCAGGGATGGGGTTAGGGGTGGGGGGATGGGTTGGGGGTGGGAGGTGCTGTTTGTTTTCACTGTCGGCAGTGGCTGATGACTTGATGGCTTCACATTCTTTGTTTACTGACATGGCTTGCATTATTTTTCGTTCACAACACTTTTCCATGATAAAATTTTTAAAAATGAAAAAGAAAGAGAAACAGAGAGGTGGCTAGGACAGGAAACAAGGACCCTCCTCACAAGCCGGTAAGAAGTTTCCATTTTATTCTAAGTGCAGTAGGAGCCACTGGCCGGTTTTCAGCAAACGGATGGGGGAGATGATCTGATTTACACGTTAAAAAGATCATGGCGGGGGCAGGGTGGTAGAGTTCCTGCTTAGCTTGCATGAGGTCCTGGGTTGAATCTCCAGTACCTCCATTAAAAACAAATAAACAAACCTAACTGACCCCCCCAAAAAAACTTAAAATTAAGCAAAAGTCATAATTTTTTTTTTTTATGATCACTTGGGTTGCTGTAGGGAGATACAGAGATTAGTTGAGAATCTGGGCCAAGATCCAGGGATATGATGGTAGACGAGGATGAAGCAGTAAAAATGGAAAGAAACAGACAGACTCAGCACATGTTATAGAGCAAAGGCGGCAGAACTTGCTGATGGACTGACGTGGGAGGTGAGGAACGAAAAGAAGCAAGTGTAACTCTAAAGCTTTTTCCCTGAGCAGCCAAGCAGGAGAGTAGCATCATTTACCCAGATGGGGAAAACTGGAGGACTCCCAGATTTGGGATGGCAGTGGGGAGCGGGATTTAGAAGTCCTATTTTCAACATGTTAAATTTGAGATGCCCATTAAACATCCAAGTGGAGTTGTCAAAATGATGGTTGGTTATACAATGTAAATTCAGAGGTCAAGTCTAGAGTGAGCAGTAAACTTAGGACACATCAGCATACGAATGTTATTGGATGAAATGACGTAGGGAGAAAGTGTAGAAAGGGGTCCTAGGACAAGCTGGGGCCTCTCACGCAGAGAAGCACCTGGAATGGATGACCATGGTCCTTGAGGCTAAAAGGAAAACCAGGTTCGTGTGCCTGTCCAGAAGCTGAGGAAGGAGGGAGTGGTCAGTGCCTGCTAAGGCAGGTAAAAGTGGAGGACACAGAAGGGATGGTCAGATTTGGCAACATGGAATTTCCAGGTGACCCTGACAAGAGCTTCTGCAGTGGAACAGAAGAGACAGAAGCCTGACTGCATGGCAGAGGGAAGGATGGGAAGTCACAAGAAGGAGACAGCAGGTCTAGACACCAGAGATGAGGACTAGCATCACCAGAAATGATCAACATGTCTTCAAGTGAGACAGACTCTGATGTGTACAAGAGATACAAAGTTAGTGAATCTGACCTTCTGCAAATACAGACTAAAAATTAAAAACATCAACAGTAAGGATCATCTCAATTGGATTATCTGAGAGATAATTTGCTGAGTAAGATCAAGGTGCTCTTAATATTTCTAATGTATTCACCAATTTGTTAATGTTATTCATGCTATGTGGGGCAGCATAGAGAAATACATATAACTCAATATAAAAATAAGTAAATAGGTGAGGAAATTCAGTGACAGGGCACGAAGTGTAGAATATTACGGTAAAGGAGGGGGTGGGAAGGAAACCAAAATGGAGACCTTAATGACCTGGGTAGTTGTTTGACGAGAGCCACAGGTTTCTCTGCCTAGAAACCAAAGCCAAGAGGGAACTGTAACCAATAATGAGACTCACTGTGTCCATGAGGGGAAAAGAGAGATTAGCTGCTTAAGAAGAGCCCTGCTTTTCTTTGTACTGATGAAGGAGAAATAATAAAATGGCCGCACTTAGGCTAACAGATTGCTTATTCTTATGTTTGCCCTTAAAATGGTCAACAAACCTGACCAACCAGTTACTACTCACAGCTCCCAGGCCCACTGTTAAAACTAAAGCGACTGATCTAACTGATTCTACTTTATTCCGGTAATCAAAAGTTATAATCATACTTGGTTTCTGAGTTGTTCTCCAGGGAGGTCACAGAACCGTAACCTTACAAAGTAGGCTAAACACCAAGAAGACCACGCCTTGGGTGCTTAAGAGATCAAAAAAGTGACAACCACTAGCCTCTACAGAATTGGTCGCCTGGAGGCATCATGACGCCATTCGAAGTCTTCTGATGAGAAAATGATTCTGTTGATTGTGATCTTGATGCTTTATTGTTTAAACTATGGTTATTATATAACCACCCCACCCTCATCCCCAAGGGGGGTTCACAGTTTTGAAGGCATTAGCCTACTGTGAGTCCCCTTTGCCCAGCAAAGCAATAAAGCTGTCTCTTTCCTTCTAAGCTCCAAGAACCTGTTTCTGAGTTATTTGGCTCGTCAGGGCTGGGGGCTGATCTTTCGGCAACACTGAGTTTAGAGATGGGCGATCTGCATTAACGGAGCTCTTTCGGGCTTCCTGACTTAGCAGCAGAGGGTAGAATCAAACTAGCTGTGGTTTTTAATGTATCTTCCCCTCTGTTCGCTGACACTAAGCATTATTATAAATCCATTAGCAACCTGTGCTATGATATTCTGGAATCTGTTTTTCTGTCTTTCAAACTGGCCTAATTAGTCATAACCAGCACTTTCTAAAATTGTCCTGCCTCATCACTCTTCCCTTAGCTAGTTTGTCAGGTGTATGCCACTGTGGTGCGCATTTGATTGGCTGAAGTTGCACACAGGGAAGGATCTGAGTGATATTCTTGATACCCAGATGTCAGTGGAGTTCAGACCCTTCTGGAGACATTCCTCTGTTCATAACAGAGTGCTGTGTGCTTTTAAGATGCTAAGAGCTCACACGCTGAGGGAAAGAAGAGATAGCTGAGGCTATCCTCAGGGCTGAGGTCGCATAGTAGGTCTGTTTCTCTTGACTTTTCTGATAATGACCCTTTGGTAAATGGCAGAATGGGTCAGATTATCAGTGGTAGGATGTTATGGTGATGGGGCGGAACAGAATAGGGACATAGCTGCATTATAGCAAGGGGAGAGGGTTTAACATCTTACATAAGCCTTAGTTAAAATGGACCCTCTTAGCCTTGTGCTCATGATTCCAGTAAAACCTGATATTCATGGAGACGGTCAGCTCTGTCTCCTCTGCATCACTCGGGGGGTCATGAGCACTATAAAGGGAATCCTAACACTGGGAGAAGTCTCATCCGGAGGTCTCGGTGAAGGAGTCCCCGGTGGGAGAGGTAGTTCAGCTTAGCAGGAAGGAGTGCAGGCAATGGAGTCGGGTAGACCCACCCAGCCTGGAGTCTTGGCTTCAGCCCTTGCTAGCTGTGTGCTCTAGGTGAAGTTTCATTTTTCTCACTGTATACTAAGAATAATATCAACCCACAGGGTTGTTGCCATAATGAAGCAGGGTAACAGGGCAAAGCACTTAGCACAAACAGCAAACAGTTAACTCTAAAACAGAAACTCAGACTCAGTGGCTATCATCACTAACAGCATTATTTTACATGACCTCAATAACATTTCCACGATAAATGTAATAGCGATTTTCTTATATCTATTTCTGATGATATCCCTAATGCAAGCTTATGGGGTAATGCCAAAGCAAAATCTAGAACAGAGCATTTGTACAAGGTGGCAAAAACAATGTAAAATTGATCTGAGGCTCTCTGATGTTTTAATGTGTTCCAAGGATGTAACATGGGCCACGTAAAGGAATGGAGGGTTTTTAATACCCTTAGGGAAGTTCTCCAGCAAGTGAGACTTGAGTTCTAGGAGCTAGTCCACCTTGGCCTGGACCTCTCAGGCCTACTGTGGTCCACAGCAAGCCCATCCAAAGGCCTCTAGTACCAGAAGGTGTGGGTCTTCAACGCTGAAAGACCAGGGTTTCACCTCCTGGATACGGTCAGTGTCTCGCACTCACTCATTACCCTCTACACACTTGACAGAGGAGAGGAGAACTCCATGACGTTAACTTCCTTGGGCACTGAGCTGCATCCCCCAAGAAAAGACATGCTGAAGTCTTCACCCCCAGAACTTCAGAACGTGCCCTTATTTGGAAATAGGGTCACTGCAATTAATTAATTAATTGTAATTAATTAAATTAAGACAAGGTCATACTGGAGTAGGGTGAGCAGCTAATTCAACATGCCTGGTGTCCTTCCAAGAAAGCAGCACGTGAAGACAAAGACACAAAGGGAGAACTCCTCATGGTGATGTGTTGCTCAACTCCAGTCTCTGCCAAAGAACGCCTAAGACTGCCAGCAAAGCCCCGGCAGCTAGAAAGAGGCAAGGAAGGATTCCCCTGCGGATTTCAGAGGGATCAGGGCCCTGCCAACACCTGGGTTCTGGATTTCTAGCCTCCAGAACTGTAAGACAATAAGTTTCTATACTTTTAAGGTCCCCCAGCTTGTGTACCTTGTGACAGCAGCCCTAGGACATTAATACAGGTACTTCGCTTCGCTTCTTCTACTATACATCGTTAGTAACAAGCAAACTGGTGATTTGCCGTCAGAATTCCAAATGGCCTAGCTTAGCCCTTGGTCCTGCCTTGAAACAGCTTTCTGAGTCAAGTGTTTCACAAGGCTCTTCTGGAACTCAATACTGAAAAGAATTTGGATGTACTCAAAGACTACATTTGACTTTAAAGCAAACTGCATTGCTGAGGGACACTACTATGGGAGTAAAATTAAAACCTAACAAAATGGATCGATAGAGGAATTTGCCAAGTTAGTTCAGCTTATCAATTAGCATTCTTAGTGACTCTTTTTTCCAGGAACAAGATAAGCTTGGGAAATTTGTTCCTTTTAGCTCTAAAGTATCCGTATCGATTAAATTCCAGGGCATAATGTGTCACTGTCTGTTCCGGGAAGGCAGGGGATTCCACCCCAGGAAGGCTTCTTGTGCCAGCAGACAAAGGAAACAGAGAAGGCTGCAGGGAAGAAGGATGAAAACAGCTAGAAATCGGTGTTCTATCACAATCGATGGAGTGTGATTCAGGTGTTAAAATAATAATGAAGATGATAAACGTCAAAAGATTGGAATACAGTATAATGAAATATTTAGCAATAAAAAGGAATGGAGGAACAAACTGCTTGCTGATACAGCCACACGGATGGATTGCAAAAAATATAATGCTCACTGTAAAAGAGTTCCTACTCTATGATTCCATTTATAGGATGTTCTAGAGCAGGCAAAGCTAATCAATGGTGAAAGCAACCAGAACAGTGGTTCTATTTCTGGAGTGGAGTGCAGAGCAGGGTGGGGACTGATCTGGAAGGGATGTGAAGGATCCTTGAGTGATGAAGTGTTGGATGTTTATAAGAGGGTTACACGGTACATACAATTGTCAAAACTCATCTTCCAGTGACCTTAAGAGCTGTACATTTCACTATATGTAAATTACACCTCTATAAAAATCACTGAATATTTGAATACAATGGCTTTAAAAACATGTTTTCCTTTTAGACATGTTAATCATATTTGTAGAGATGTGGAAAAAAATTTTTTAAAGAAATGAGAAGAAAATTGAAACACCCGTAACTGCCCTCTCTAGAGTAAATAATTCCAATATGCTATAAGATGTGATATAAGTGTGTCAGCATAGCAGAGATTAGAGTGAATACACTAACTGTTCTTTACGTTCTCACTACTACTATTTCAAAACCACTATCATATGAATAGCATCTAAAATAAAATAATGCAGTGGGGAGGGTACAGCTCAGTGGTAGAGCATGTGCCTAGCAAGCATAAAGTCCTGGGTTCAATCCCCAGTACTTCCATTAAAAAAATTTTTTTTAAATAAAATAAAATAAAATGATGGAAAATAATTGAGGATACAATATTGTGACTATATTGTATGGGTTTCCTTTCCTTTAAAGATGTCCTTTAATTGTCCAATAAATAACAGTCATAATGGAAAAACAGGTTCTAGGAGGAAAGATGAGAGCAACTGAGGTAATTTTTGTCGAATGGAAAGCTCACAAAGGAGTCATTTGGTTACAGCCATCACACACAGAAAGGCTGTGGGCTTGCCAAGGGCAGGAAGAGCGTCCCATTAATTCTGAGCCCCCAGATACCTTGTCTGGCACAAAGTGGGGGCACCACATACATTTCTGAATAAATGTTCTACATGTCCAGGGAGAACCCATCAAGAAAAAAATGGATTTTAAATGAAAGTATGAGAGATTTAGGGAAGACATTAATAAGCCTTTGACAGTCAGGGATGATGAAGAAAATTCTAGAATGTCTAATGTAAAAAAAAAAATTTAAGAGTATACTATTACTATTTGTTCAGGATAGTTTACACACCCATCTTCCTAAAGGAAGGCAGAGTGTCTAGTTCCTCTCCAGATATAAGATTCTACTTCTGTTACTTCTTCCCAGAAGGCAGGGGTCAGGGTCATCTGCCAATTCAGAAACCGTATTTGGGCGTAGGAGGAGAGCAGGTGGCCAGCCTCAGGTACAGCCAGGTTTGCAGCTGAAAGGCTCAGCTTCCACATCAGCTGTGAGCTGTGAGCTTTACAGAATTCTCAAAGGGATCCACTTCCCTGCCTGTCCCAGAGATCAGATAAGCAAACTCCAAGGAATCCAGTCACAGCCAAAAGCAGGAGGGAGGTGACAAGCTAACGGCCAAGAAACACCCTTCTTCATGAGCCTGAAATGACGGGGTTACCCCAAAATGTGGATGCCAGTCATCTCCCGGGGGTAGAAACTGCAGGATTTTTAGTTTTTCCTTTCTATTTGCCTAAAATGTTTATAACGAACACACAGTGCTTCTGCAGAGAGAAAACTCTCTCTTGTTTCTGTATCTTAGGATGTTAGAAAGATTCAAAGGAGACTCTCTTTGAGTTAATTTTCAGGGTCAGGCTACTCACCACCCCTGAAAGAAGTTAAAATGATGTTCCTTTAAAAAAAGAAACTGCCTTTCCATCTCCTCCTCCCTCCCCTCTGTTGAGCAAACAACCCTTTGTCTAAGCCAGCAGCCCCTGGGCACACATCCTGTACCTGTCTGAGGCTGGCACCACGGAGGCTGAGGCACTTCCAAACTTACCATGGCTGTGACTCTATGTCAGGATCAGAGTTCAGTCACCCACGCAGAAGTTCCTCTGTGATAAAAGCAGAGGGGAAATGACTGTGATGAGAGAAGTGTCATTAAAATCATTAATCAGGATAACTGACTGTTTGCACAAAGTTAAGCCACCGGGAAATAAATACACAGTTTCATCAAAAGGCCAGCTATTGATTAGCCAAAGAGACAGAGGGACAGGCTAATAATTAAAGAGAAACTGTTTGAACGGGCAATTGCACCAGCAAAATACTTTCCCACCTGCTCTTCTGTTTGCAGATGCACGTTACAGGAATGACGCCTCTTGCTCAGTTAGGGTGAGATACATTACTTGTACTCAAGCCAAACCTGGATTCTGAGCTGGGAAGCTCTAGTGGACCAGAAGAGGTGCCTCCTTGGAGAGAAGAGATAATCCAACTGCATGGGGGAAACGACTGCACTCCAGCCTTCACCCTGAGTGTGTGTGCGTGTGTGCGCGTGTGTGTGCACGTGAGCATTCGTGTATGATGCCAGGCCATCAGACCAACCAATACTAGGCTTTTCATTTCCCAAAGATCACTTTCACTGCCAACATCTCAAGACTTAAAGGTGCTTCTTGCCTTTAAGCTGTGGCCTTATATACAAAGCTTTGCCCTTAGTTCTCTTCAGCTCCCCCTCTTTCATCAAGAAGACTTGAGTCATCACACATTTATTCAGTCGTTCAGAATGTAAGCAATGTCTTTAGTGTGGGCAGGCCTCGGAGGGGCAGGCCGACTGGCTCCTGTTTCTGTATCCAGGTCCTATGGAAAAGGCTCCTTCCCTAAGTGTTTAGCTAGATCCTTGACAGTCAAGAATCGTCCTAGAACCAGAAGCATGGGTATCCCCTGGGAGCTTCTTAAAAGTCCAGAATCTCAGGTCCCCAACCCAGACCTACTGCTAGAATCTGCATTTTCACAAGATACCCCAAGTATTTGTCTGCACAGTGGTCTGTAAAGCACTGGCCTAGTGAACCCTACCAAGCAGCACTCATTCCTCTGAACAACTACATCCTTCTTACGCCAGTTTATCACCAATCAGGTCATGTTTGGCCACATTTATTCCCCATCATCCGCTTTCTGAGGCTCAGCTCCGTTCCTCCCATCACTCACTGCGGACCTACCTCATCCTACCTAGGGGTCAAGCCCTTCCTAAGGCGAATGTCAGCTGGTTCTGGGGCACAGCCTGAACAAAGGTGCAGAGGTGGGAATGGGCAGTGGCTTTGGGGACAAGGAGGCAATGAGGCTGCTGGAGCGGTGAGCTCCTTCCAGGAAGGCTCAGAGGTAAGGCTGAAAAAACGGGTGGGGAACTGATTACGAAGGGCCATGTATGTCCATCTGAGGTGTCTGACTTTATACTGCAGACGATGGGAAAATAGTGAAAAGGTTTTGAGTTTTGCAGAGAAATGATGTAAGACAAGACAGACTTCAGCAAGTCACTATTCTACAGGGTGGACTGGAGTCAGAGACAAGGGGTCAGGAAGGCTGGAGGAACTAGCACAGGAATATAGATCTGCACTAAAACAGAGGCCAAGAACAGGATATACCTATGAAATATTTAGAAGGAAGACTTGGTTGGATTCAGCGGCTCTTTGACTATATGGATTTATTCATTCAATCACCAAATATTCATAAAGCCCTTCTCTATCCCAGGCACTGTGTTAGCTGATAGAGATAATACAGAGAATAAGACAAACCACCTGCCTTCAAGGAGCTTCTAGTGTACCAGGAAAGACAGACAACAAATCAACAAATGCACACGCAGGATAATTTCGGCGGGAGGGTATAGCTCAGTGGTGGAGCGTGTGCTCAGCACGCATGAGGTCCTGGGTTCAGTCACCACTACCTCCACTTAAAAATGATTAAATAAATAAATAAACCTAATCCCACTCCCCCACAAATAAACAATAATTTCTGATACCAGTAAGATGAAAATATTACAAGATAATGGTATAGAACATGGATCAGCAAACTTCAGCTCACGGGCCAAATTCTACTTTTCTACACCCTACTAGCTAAGAATGGTTTTTTACAATTTCACCAGTTGACGAAAAATCAAAAGAATAATATTTCATGAAATGTGAACATTATGTAAAATTCAAATTTCAGTGACTGCTTGAGCAAAGTCTTCTGGAAATACTGAGAGTTGTTATTAAGTGAGCTAGAAATATTTCACTAAAGGGAAAATCTGCATCACACTTGAACACAGGGTACTTTTAGCCAGACAACTTCTTTTATAACTTGGACGGCACACAGCATAAATTGATTTATATAGAGACCGCTGTTGTATATTTATTATTTCCTAGCACCAACTGAGCTTGTAAATAGATTTCAGAAATGAATGCAGAAAATGGTCCCCTTTGATTCTTCCATTAGGTGTCAGATAATACATGTAAAGTTTCTTTTTAATTAGAACTATTATTGTTTTTATTATTGTTGGTTTTACGGTAACATCTCTAAAATACATTAACTATTTTTTTTTGTTTTTTAATTTTATTTTTTATTGAAGTGTAGTTGATTTACAATGTTAGTTTCAGGTGTACAGCAAAGCGATTCAGTTATACATATACATACATGTATATTTTTTCTTTTCAGATTCTTTTCCACCATGTGTTTTTACAAGAAATTGAATTTAGTTCCCTATGCTATACAGTAAATCCTTGTTGTTTATCTATTTTGTATATAGTAATGTGTACCTGTTAATCCCAAACTCCTAATTTATCCCTCCCCTGCCCTTTCCCGAATATGTATAAGTTAACCCACACAAATGCTTCCTAGGACAGTACCGGGCACCTTAATAACTCTTGACAAGAATGGGGGAAGGAATGGAACACACCCCTCCTCCAGTGACAGAACTGCTGTAGGCCTCTTCTCAGCTGCATAAAATGGTCAGCCCCCAAGGGATGAAAGGCCCTTCTCCTTGAACTCCATTTGTAAACGTCCTCCCATGTTTCCACCTGCCTGCAGAGCCAAGGATATTTTATAAGAACCCTTTTCTGTCTCCACCTCTTTGATTCATTTGCTCTTTCTCTTTGAAGATCAGCCTACAGTCCCATAAATGGAACAGTATGACCAAGTTCACAAGAACTTTGTTTTGGGATCTTACCAAGTCCTTTGCGGCTCACAGGTGGCAAATAATGAGCAACTGGGCCTTAGTTTTTACATCTGTAAAGTGCAAACACACTCAGTTTTGGGTGTGGCTCAAATGACCTTAAAAGCATCAGGATTTCAAGATGGAAAGATGTAGACTGAAGGGACCATATGTTCATGACGTCTATAAAAACCTACAGCTTATATACAGGATGTGGGTGGGAAACTGCGCCTTCTTTATAATATGGGAACTCCTCACATGGGGTGCGGGACAGGCTTCCTGAAGGTTTTAGCACATTTAGAACAACTGAAAGAAAGCTGGGAATGAAATATAAGAGACTTATCCCAATGGTAGTTACTTACGGGAATAATAAATTGTAAATATGTTCAACCTATTTCAGGTAAGATTACATAAATTTTCAGAAATAATTTATGAAGAATTGACAAAGAAAAATCAGGTGTGTTGAGAACACATCCCTACTGCTTACCTATAGGAGATGCAGAAGGGTAATTATTACACTATCCCACAAAGTGCCCTATTGTATCATTGTCAGAAATTGGCAAGCCAGGGGCTGACTCCAGCATAAAGTTTCCTATGTCCTCACGGCCGACTGCAGGCACGTGGAACAGGATCTGACTCCAGCTAACATTTCTGCAGGCTATACAGCCAACAGTGTGATACATTCCTCCCCACTCACCCTAAATTTGGAAAGCAAGCAAATCAGACTGTTCCCTGAGCAGTGGACTAGTAAAATCAGTAAATAATCATGCAAACAAAGATACGCAAACTCATCTTAAGGAGAAAGAATGGCTCTGGAGATGAAGCCAGCTGGCTGCATGGTATGAGCATGTTTAAAGAAACATTGTGTCGGGAGGTGGGGGAGACGGAGGCTGGGTACACCTGAGTGGTAGAGTGCATGCTTACTATGCAGGAGGTCCTGGGTTCAAGCCCCAGTATCTCCATTAAACAAAATAATAATAAAATGATGAAATAAAATAATTATTAAAAAAAAAGAAAAAAGTTGTGTCTATCAGCAATGCAAGCTCAACCCAAACCATCATCAAGGCTTACTTTGAAATATTTTTCAAAACCCTGGCCTCAAGAAAGGGTGGCTTGACTCCAGGATCCAATGGTCCAAGAGTTGGACATTTTCCCACTGTGAGGATGAATTTTATCCATCTAAAACTCTTTGTTCTGATTCCATAGTTGCCAAGCAACCTCTGGACTAGAGTTTGGCTTCTCATGTGGACCTGTCTACAAAGTAACTGAAGCATGAGGACTTCTGTCTAAGTAACAATTGTATTTCTCAGCATAAATAAAGAAATTAGCAGAGTGTGCATGCATGCATGTGAGTGATGAGCCATAAATATGAACCCATCCCTGAGAGGTGAACCCCTTCTTGGGATGCTAACAAGTATAATTTCTCTGGTCCTGCTGACTGGCTGTGGCACAGTGATGAACTCACCCCAGTACCAGATTTTCTCCTTGAGACTCCCAGTGTAACTTGGTGGCCTCCTTTCAAATTCATAACATTGACCTACATCCCAGGACAGGCAACCCGGACCTTCATTATAGAGGGATCTGCTATCCTGGTGATGACACATTCTTACTGAATCCCTCCCTTCCCTGGAAGATCACATGTGAGTGAGTCACTCGCCATTTTTCTTTGGCACATGGTTTCATTTTACACCCCACAGGATGACACGTTTAAATTTTCAGTCTGCGGATTCGTGGAGGCTGTGACTGGGTCCCAGCCCAGGCACTAAAGGCTTTCAAAACTGTCTATGACTTGGAACTTAGATTCTTCTAAAAGTGAAGGAGATTTTGTTGCCATGATGGAGTTTGAGGTGGGAGAAATAAACATCTTCAAACAGTTAATTGAAGGCAAAATATGTCGTCTAAATGAATACAAAGTTGGAAATCTGCTTGCTAAGCAATCTTAGGGAAGAATCTATTCCAATCTATCACCTGGCAAGTAACTTATTAACAATCTTTTGTCCAAACTTTAGCTACTTATTCACAGCATTTCTGGGAACAATAATGATAATAATTTCAATCCACAAATAATTAACAACCACACATTTTACACATAATTTAAAACATCCACACTCCTCCTCTACCATTCCCATGTCATGCCAAAGTCTGTTAAGGTTTTTACTCCACTCCAACGATTTCTTTGTCCAAAAGGCAGGGAGAAGGAGGAAAGGAGTATTTATCAAACACTCCCCTAAATTATCTTAATCTATCCAATGACCTTTTGCAGCCATGATATTATCTCTACCTTACAAA